TTATCAAAGATACAGTCTATTAGTTTGGGTATTCTTAATAATTTCTTCCTCTTTAAATATATTGCATTTACTATTCTACTATATTTTTTTCTGGATGATATATGCTTTTGTTTGTTAAAGGCATTGTTTTGTTATAAAATTTATTTTTTTTAATAATTAAGAAATTCCCATTTTCGAGGCTTTATTTTGAATGTTATCTTTTCTTTCAGCGTTTAAAAATAGGCTCAAGCAAAACAATTTGTCCATATTGGTTTCCTTCAATCCTGTTAAATTGTTTCAATGTTTTCCTGTCTATGTTCAATTCCTTCACCAAAGAAAATTTCTGGGAATTATTCGCACGGACCTACTAGTTAGCTATATGCATTTTTCATCAACCTAAATCATAATATTTTTTATATTAATCATTTATAATTGTTTAAATTTAGAAAACTGAACCATTAATGATTCAATGGAATAAATAATATTACTAAACATAAATAATTTAACTATCTAAAATTAAATATTTAATCTGTTTAATATTTAATTAGGCAAGAAAAAGTTAGGAGGCGGAAGTTTGTGGTTGCACACATCTTGGATCCACATTTATGATGATTTCTTTTCTCTAAATTATATATTATAATATAGAAAAACATTTTAAATTAAAATTTGACTAATATATGAGCTTATTTCTTTAAGCTTTTATTTGTTATATTTTTTTGTAGAATGGTAAAACTGTCTATTAGTAAATTTCTTGTTTATAATATTCACGATGTAATCATATTCACCTTAAAAACTTTTTTTTACCTATCTTCTTTTTAAATTGAAATTAAAATTTCTCTAACTATGCGAAAAAAAAGTGATTATTTATTTACTGAAATCCTTGAATAAAACAGTAGCAGATTTTTATGTTTATGCGGTCAACGACAGTCGCTTCCAATGGAAGAAACGTATTTCGTAAGTATCATTTTAATTATCTGTCACGGTCTTAAAACTTTTTTAATGTTTGTACTTTTATTAATTACTAGCATAAAAAGTATAATGTCTTCATCCTTGTTATATCTAAATAAATTATACTTTTCGTGATATTATAAAAATATAACTTTCAATTAAATTTATTTATTGAATATTAAAACATTCTGTCACTTGGACATTAGAGATAGTGAGATAAGATCACATTCACACTAAATATACAAAAAATATAAAATGAACAGCAAAATAACAAATAAATAATAATAAAAAAATGTAAACGATAAATAAAGTAAAATAACTTAAAAATAAGGGAATTAAAAAAAAGCAAAAAACACATACGTACCTATCTATATACACTATTTACAATCAGACGAGGGAACGCATTTTCCCTCCAACTATGGAGGGAAAATCAGAACTCATGGAGTTCCCTGCGCTACTCTCTCAACCGCATCTCTGGTACTAAAGCCAGCACAATTAAAAATAAAAGTAAAAATTTATATGTATCTACAAAAAAGAAATCCCTTTAATTTTCTAGATATTTTTTCAGGCCAGTACGAATATAAATTTCACGTAATGATTGAATATTTAATAGTTGACCGTTGTATTATAAAGGAAGGAGATGGTCCGGATGGCGGTCATAAATAGGCTGAATAGTGGTAAAACTATTTTTATTAAAAGCCAACGTTTCGACCCGACTTTGCAGGTCTTCTTCAGGGCTAGAACGGACAAGATACAAAAAGATAGAGAATTGTGGAAGTTACATAATATTTAGATAAAAAATTATAAACAACGTCAATAAGCTTATTAAAATTATAAACAGTAAGTACATTGAAATATAAACAGAGTAAGCTAAGTAACAAGATCCTAAACTGAAGTAAATAGATGGTAAGAATTGTTATAGTGTAATATATAATTTATGCAAATGTGAATATACTTCTACAGATCTACAGGAGAGATTGAAAAAGGAGGTAAAAAGATATAATATGAAATAATAGACATATTATATTATTATTTACATATCCAGTTCTAAGTGAAACTCCAAGCTGAACACACCTGTAAGTCTCTATTTTTCTTCTTTAATTTTATATACTTATTTATTTATTTTCGGTTTTTCTTTTCTTTCTTGACATTCCTATATGTATATTATTTCATATTGTATCATTTTTCCTTCTTTTTCAATCTCTCCCTTAGATGTACAGAAGTATATTCACATTTGCATATATTATATATTACACTATAAGAATTGTTACCATCTAATTATTTCAGTTTAGGATCTTGTTACTTAGCTTACTCTGTTTATATATTAATGTAGTTACTGTTTATAATTTTAATAAGCTTATTCACATTGTTTATAGTTTTTTTTTCTAAATATGATGTAACTTCCACAATCCTCTATATATTTTTTGTATCTTGTCCGTTCTAGCCCTGAAGAAGGCCTGAAAAGTCGGGTCGAAACGTTGGCTTTTAATAAAAATAATTTTGCCACTATTTAGCCTATTTAGCCTATTTGTGACCGCCACCCTGGACCACTTCCTTCCTTTATAAATTTCACGTAGTTTGAGTTTTTGCTTTAGTAATTATTAATTTAATGGATGTTTGTTTTATATTGTTTTCTGTCTAATGTTTTTATAAAGTTATAGAGAATTTCGTATGAGCTCTTTATATGTTGTGATTAAATTAATAATAATAACAGAATGATATTTAGATTAAGTATTTTATAATTGACAAGATTCGGGGAGGAGGGGGAGAATGAGACACACAAAAGGCACTTTTCTAACGCTAAATCAATTTATAAAATTTTTCAAACTCCGGAATCACTTTAGAGAGGAAATCTTGCGGCGCAAAACCGTAAAAACGCATAGAGGTACTTCTCAAAAACCTTCTGTCTATATTCATATAAACTTTCAACCATTTTTTTCAGTTTTGGGTTGGTTAAATTGTTTTAAATAAATTTTATATATTATTATCTACCAAAAATTCATAATCGGATGAAGGCAAAATTTTTGAAAAAAAATACTGTAGAGAATGCCTAACATATGAACTATTTAGTTATTCATAACATAGAATTATGTTAAATGGATCTCTAAATCTTTAAAGCAAGCAATAATAAATAAAGATAAATTTTCGTTTCATTTATTATAAATGTCTGTCACGTTTAATGACTGAAAAATGTCAATAATTGCTTAACCGACTTGATTCGAACTAATTTGTGTCAAGGTAATCATCTATCTCCAAAACAAAATTCGGCTTAAAAAGGCCCACATTGATAGCCGTTATGAAACACATAATTTACAGGTCATCTGAAACTGATGATTATGTTAACTTAATGATGCGTTAACTTATGATGGGTTAGGTTTAAGCGGTGTGGTTTGAAATTGATGAATTGGACCAATCAGACTTTTATCATTTCAATTCAATACTATTATGTTCTTTAGATTTGATATCTTAATAAGGGCTATAATTTTTTTAACAACTTTTAATATTGTTCCAAAAAGCACTACGTTATTGTAAATATCACTCGATTATCAGCAATCGAATTATGATGAACTTGAGTGTACCTAGTTAAAAACATGGATCATAGCGAATAAAACTCATCGAAGGTTTGATACCGATTAAACAAACCATCTCTCTCTCCCACCATACACAGATAGTTTTTTTTTTCTTCATATTTCCATCCACACCTGTCATGAGCTTGACAATAAGCAGATGTGCTGTAACTAATAAGAAAAATTGACATTTTAGGCATGAGGAAAAAAAATAGTACCCAGCAGCACTTCTTCCTGGTCTTGATTTATTTCCTTAATTCAAGAAAGGAGATCTCTCATCCAGCTCCTCTTTAGTCGTCTCCTGATAGGCATGTCAGCTGTGGCCATGTCGTTAATAAGTCCGTTGTGATGTCCGTGTAGTTTAAGATGAAATCTGGAGTAGAGATCGCGTATGTGTTGGTCGATAGTTGGTCTTAAGTCTTTATGTAAAGTTTTGTTGTTTACGTACCAAGGAGCTCCTGTTATAAGTCGTAAAATTTTGGATTGAAATGTCTGTAGTTTTTGTAAGTGTGTCTTTTTTGCAGAACCGTAAATTTGTGAGGCGTATGTTCATATGGGTTTGAGTAGGTAAGTGTATGTATTGAGTTTTTGTCTGATTTTCAATTTTGATTTGGAAAAAAGTGAGTACAGTATTTTCATTCATTCTGAAATCAGCACAGATAATTAAAACGAAAATCTGTAATCTTAACAAAAATATTACCTACCACTATCCTCCCATCTACGTTTCGGTTTACTGTCTGTGGTTACGTTTTTATTTGCTTTTTAACTACCTATATAACTTAAATTTATAAATTATTTACTCATCTTTTGGTTTATTATTTTCAATAATGAACCATTGTGATCTAACAAAAAATTCAAAAAATTAACCCTCTCTCAAAATTTGAGGTTTTACGTTTCAGGATATGTAGAATTCGAAAAATGAATAAAAATATTTTGGCCGTATGCAGTCCACAGCACGCTCATCTTCTCCAAAACTACTAGAATTTTTTTTTCTTTAAATTTGTCTTTAAAATTAGAGGTCACCCGAGGAAGATCCTCCTTTATCGACATTTCTATCCTCCTTTTCCTTTCAAGATGACGACCGAAAAACCTGTGTTGCTATAGACTGTAGCCCCAAAACGAATGTACCGAAGTAGATAACACTTTATTTTTACTTTAATGTTCAAAGTGCAAGACCAAAATTGATTTTAGGCAACACTAGTTTCTACATAGTTTTATCTGTTTTTGTATATATCTTGTTCACTTAAAGTTTTCTTTACTTTTTATTTTATTTTTATAATTTTATTTATTGTTTCTAACTTATATGCCGATAGTAGTCTATTCTTTTTGTACAATTTCGTTATTCTAAAAAAACAACAACTGTTAAATGGAAATACACCTTAATAGACGACTGGTTTCTTTTGTATCCACCGATCTATTTGGATTGCATAATTTTTTTTTAAAATACTATGATTATTGTGAGCTATATTTAATGAATTATTGTTCTAAGATTCTTATCGTTTCCAGGTGAGACCCAGTACTTCACCTGGGATAACTCCAAGACGGAAGTGACGTCACTAGCGCTCTCCTTCTACTCCGGCCTCTTCGCCTACAATGGATGGTAAGATCTAGTCTTCTTCTTTTAGTAGTACGATCTTAGTAATATTTGCTAGGTCTTGCATCATGTAGTCCGGGGCTGGTCATTGTGTTCTGCTCCAAGGGCGTCTCGATTGGAAAAATACAACGATGTAGTTTTAGTTATTCCTTAAACTGAATAAGGAACTAACATAAATTAGTATTTGTATAATATCTGGATTTAATGACCTATATTACACCTATATAATAGTTATTAGTCGACTATGCAGGGTTTTTCAGGGTTAAGGGGCCAAGCTGAAAATATGAACTAAGGACATGAAAACAAGAAAAAAAGGTATGTCTGCAAATGCTTTGTTTAGGAGATATTCATAACTAAAGATTTTAATTGTTATGAATAATCTACGTTATATTAAGTAAATGAAACTTATTTATTTGTTCCAAATACTTATCCAGTAAATAATGGAAAATATTTTAAGAGGTGGTGGTAGACAATGACGGCCTTAGACATTCGGAGCCCCCTAGCAATGATGTCATCTCTCTCTCTCCTGTGAAAAAATTAAAATGATTTCATAAGCTGTTTTGTATTACGTAATATTTCAAGTTTATTTTTTATTTATTTTTTTAAAATTTATTTATTTAGATATATAACAATCTGTCACGTGGACAATAATTATAGTGATATATGATAAAACACATTCTTACCATATATACAGGAAATATTTTTTATTTCTTAATGGCATTTACAACTGTATTACATAAATACATCTAGTAAATTTGGACATAATAGATATAATGACATGAATACACTTCCTGAGTAACTAGCCAATGGTAGCACTCTAATGATATGACTACATTAGGAGATTACGGGGCCATATTTTTTTCAGACGCCTCGGAGGGTTATCAGGAATTGAAGAGGAAGCAAGCTTAGAAACGAGAGGGTCGGGATGATTCTGAAGTTTATTATGGAAGGATAGGTATCTGGATTGGGCCAGATCTCTACAGGAAATATAAAATTAACAAAAGTAAAATAATAATAAAAAACTGTGAACAATAAAAAAATAAACAACCTAAAGAATTTTAGTATATGTACCACCGAATCGAGTACTCAAGTTTATTAAAAGTTGTTTTTTTCCAATGGATTCTTACTTCCATCAATTTTACTTGTGATAAAATATCTATAATTATACATTGCCAATGTTAGTGTAAAAGGTCATATGTAACAATTTTCCATTTTTATTCTATTGGTGCTAAAAGTGACATTTCGTAATATACAACTGATATAGGTTGACTGATATAGGTACTATGGAAAATAAAATATGAAATTACAGTCATAAATCATAAAGAAATAATTAGTTTTTATGCTCTTTTATAAAACATTCAAATGTTACATACGTCTTTTCGCACTAACAGTAGCGATTTACATCTTCAGTATGTACTGGATTTTTTTTCAAATTTATTATAAATGATTTATTCGCAAGTTATAGTATTTTAACAAATAGGAATAATTAAAACAAAATGTAAATAAATTAAATGAAATAATAACTAAATAAACAAGTAAAAATAAACTAAATCTTCATATTTAGAAATGGATTTACAAAATGAAACAAGAGACAGATAAATTTACTTTTATAAGTCGGTATTTTTTTCTTTTGATTTTTGTATTACTTTGTTTAAATTAAGTATGTTAATGTATCCATTATTGCCTTTAATAGGATATTCAGTAATAACATTGATAAAAAATCTTATCAGGAGTGGCAACTCTAAAGAAAGTGTTAATATTCTTAATTAATACCTCGCAAATATCTACCAGAAAAACGGATTCAGTGATCGTATTTTAAACTGAGGCCGTTAGACGCTGACCACAGCTGATATTATTTAAAAACAAACACTGCTAAAAATGTCCTCGCTCAGCGAAAACGAATAGCATTATTTTAATTTAATAAACAGTATCTAGAAGAGAACAAAAAATATATTTTTTTGATATATAAGTCCAATATTATAAGTCCAATGAGTTGAAAAATTCGGGTTTTTTTTATTTGTAAATCCGCATAACAGTTTTTATATGCTTAAAACATAGGCTATTTTTCAATTTTGAAACTAGTGGCGACTGAATTATATCAAGAAAAATGACAACTATTCAAAATAACCATCGTCCTATCACGTTAGTTATATAGTTTTTATGTCAGAGTGACTAATTAGTTTTTGTCTACCATCGAATTCAAACCTAGATTTTAGGCCATTTTGTCGAAAAAAAAGTCTGATTTCCATAATCTTACTCTGCCACCATTCTTCAACCTTAAACCAAACTAAAATCATCCCTACCATCGTTATTACATCATTCCATTGTTACCATTTGAGTCGTGGAATAAGTTTTGTTTCGTTAAAAACATATGGTTTTATAAAGATATGGTTAAGACAACAAAAACTTTTGTTTACACATTTCAATGTTTCTTATAATAGCACTGATGTAATTTTCCTGCAAAAAAAACAAATTATCTCTACTCTTTGAGTCATCTTCACGTGCCAATGGTGTCCGAAACGGTTTGTCCCTATACGGTTATAGTCGATAAAACCGAATGATAACGATTATTTTTGCCTTATATTTAGGTGTCTGTTTAACGTTTTCTTTTCCTTCACTTATTTTTTTGTTTATTTTATTTTTATTTATTGTTATATATTGGTCTTTTCAATATTTTAATTTATTAGTTAATTGTGGGTTAATGGTTGACTGTAGTGAATAATTAAAGAGAAGAATGATTGGGATGATCAGCGAAAATAAAAAATAAATAATTATATTTATTTTTTTATTTGCCGACGTTTCGGCCCAAAGTTTAGGCCTTCATCAGGACTAAGTGAAGAACCAGATAACAATATGTATGAGAAACTATAAACATTGAATAATAAAAAATTAAAATTAAAAAGGTGAAATGTGTAGATTAAAAAATGTAGGTAGAAAAAACTTAAAAGTAAAATGAAGTAGATAGTGTGAACATCATAGTATAATAAAGTAGGTAGAATAATAACAGTATCAGAGAACTAAGAAATTAATAAAAACGCTGTTATTATTATTTATTTCTTAGTTCTCTGTTATTTTTATTATTCTACCTACTTTATTTTACTTTAATATTCACTATATCTACTTCATTTTACTTTAAGTTTTTTCTACCCACATTTTTTAGTCTGTACCTTTCATCTTTTTAATTTTAATTCTTTATTATGCAATGTTTATAGTTTCTCATACCTATTGTTATCTGTTTGTTTTCTTAACCCTGTTGAAGGCCTGAACTTAAAATAAAAATAACTATAATTATTTACTTTTACTATTTTTTAGTTATGACAGATCACCCCAACTATTTAGTTGTTATTTTGCTTTTATTTTATTTTTACTATTATTTATATTGTCTGTAAATTTGGTGTGAATTAACTCTTTTGTCACTGTAAACAATTGTCTTTATTATGACATAATGTTGTATTACCAAAAAAAAAAAAAAAAAAAAAATTAATCATCATCTCTCATATCCGATCGCAATCTTTACTACATAAAATTATTATTATGCTATTATTGAAGTTTCGTCAAGAATATCAAGAATATCTTTCAGTAGATCCGACTTAAGTTACCCAAAAGTTTGATTAATGATGTATGGTTTGATTAATTTTGATCATCTGTACGAAAAAAAAAGAAGAGGAGCCCACCATTATGCCGTGAAGAGAAAAATGGAGCTATGATTATTACTTCCTAGTGCCCGAAAATCGGTTTGACAAAAGTTAGGGAACTATAAGCTCAACTACTTAAAAAAAAGAAGTTAATAATGAATATATTGAAAAATAAACAACTAACAAATATCATACACAATAGTTTAAGATTAATTTTCTCTATATGTTAAAATGTATTTTATTTATTAAGAAAGTGAAAAGTTGAATTGTTTATTTTAAATAAAAATCAGGGCTCACAATTGGTTGTGAGGAATAGTAACTAACCTTCTTGGTCTCCCCTCCACTTCTCGCAATTGAAGCTTTAGATTAAGATTTCTGTAAATCCGTCATTTCTGTCCATCAGTATATCAATCTAAATCTAACACGATCAATCAGACTGTCAGTCATGCCTCAAACTATCCGATTGACCGTAGAGTGTCCGCTTAATAAAGCATTATGTGCCGGATGACTCTGCCCTACCTGTTCGGCCATTGGTAATTGAGCCCAAGCCACGTAGGCTTCAGGTAAAGCACCTTTAGGACCATTCTCAGGTCATTATTACTGCTATGTACTTAATAAAAACAGAAGTCAGGTCTTTAATCTATGAATATTAAATTACCGAAACCTGGTCAAATTTATTATCTACTTTAAGTTGGTATAAATCGGCTACTTTCGTGTTGTCTGACCTATCATAAAGAATTGCTTAGAGGTCATATTTGTAAATACATCATGCAGTCTTACACTAATAGGCTGGTTGTAAAATTCTTACTGTTCCATAATCACTACACTTTGTCATATTCCTCCAAGGGTAGACCCTGATACATGGATGCCTCTCGATCAAGGTTGCCCATCCCTTCCAAGGCCGATGGCGCATAAACCTTCCCCCACCCCTCCTAAGATATTTTATTCCTCTCTTCTTCTTAAAAACAGTGCAAACGAAAGTAGAATTAGAACATTCGTAGATCATATGCCATTACACATCCTGAGGTCTGTGCCATGATTCCATTGGTTTTTTTATTTGAAACTTTTCATTTTGAAAATTCATAACTCCGTAGGATTTTGCTCCCCCTCAAAAATTGAAAACCCCTTCAAAAAGAACCCTCGTTAATTTTGATGGCGAAACCTACAACCAACCCTGATTTTCTACCTTCAACTTAAGCCTTGTCTGTCATCTTGGAAAAATAATCTTCCCTGTTGGTAAAATCTGTTCGAACCATCTTTACTGTTTTCTGCTTTGATATTTCCTACTAGTTTGACATACACGATCTGACCACGATAGTTATTGGTTGTGTTATGAGATCTCTTCTGTTATTCCCTTCTTGTACCAGAAAG